CCTATTTTTTTGGTATTCAAAACCGGCGGTTATAATTGTTACATTTAAATCTTTTTTTGTTTTCAACAGAAAATCTGCTAAAATATTTTAAAACAAAATAATATTCTGCACTAATATTCTTAAATAATATTTATTTGTATAGATTTGTACATTTAAAAAAATAAAACACGACTCATTTCGGGCGCTGCTAATTTTACATATTCGTCTATATATATATACACATATACATAATTGATGTTAAATTTTAATATTTGTAGACATGTTTTCTTTACATAATAGTCTTGAAAAATCTTTTTTACACACTGTTAAATTCAAATATTTTTAGATATGTTTTCTTTCTAATCCGTGCATTTGAAATTGATCATTTCTCCTTTAAAATCGTTTCCAATTCCAATCTATACAAAGTTTATCCATAGCACAAATCTGAGTTTATCTCTCATCTTTTACAAAATCCCATTACATATTCACAGTTTAAAAAATTTCATCCCTTATCTATACAGATTTAAAAAATAAAATAATTACTAATATTTTTAAAAATATTCTAAACTAACAATACATCCTCGATAACAACGTAAAAAATATAATAATAATTTTGAAATTGTGTGTAATCAAATTTTGTTAAATGGAACTAACGCTACGGTATCATCTGAATATCTTTATTAAATTAGGCTTATAATATTTTAGATACTTAAACCAAATTGTTTAGACATTTTTTTTACATATTCGTCTATATATATGTATATATATATACACATGTACATAATTGATGTTAAATTTAAATACTTGTAGACATGTTTTTTTTACAAAATAGTCTAGAAATTTTTTTTTTACACAATGTTAAATTCAAAAGTTTTTAGATATGTTTTCCTTCTAAAATTGTTTAGAAAAGTTGTAGGTGACTTCACATATTTCAAAAATAATATTGAAAATTTTGAATACTTTTGCATATACTAATATAATATTTTATGTGTTTTAATATTAAACATCCAAATTTTATATTCTCTTATACAAAATAATGCAAATTTTATATTCTCTCATACAAAATAATTTTACATTATTTGACCCTGAATCTTTAATTTATAATTATTAAGTATTGTTTATCCTCCTCTTTAATTTATAATTATTTTTTTTCTTCATCTTTTTAAATAGGATCAATAGTAGTTTTCACTTCCGCCATTGAGTGGCTCAAACTCGAGGTCTATTTATAATATTATTGATTTAATATTGTTTCCGTGCATCGCACGGAGTACACACTAGTATTAAATATAATTTTAGTATAAAGAACAAATTATTTCGATTAGTTAGGATAATTCGGTTAACCGAACCGAGTAAATAATTATTTATGTTTAGTTTCATTTTGATTTAGAACAAAAGTTCGTTCATTTCAATCTGCATATAAACCGACACCATGCACCGTAGTGTTGGACGAATTGCACATTAATAGCAATAGATTGCACATTATATTTTGTTTACATATATATTATTTTTTTAATGAAACATATAATATTAAATAAAAAATATTAAAGACTAAACATGTTTATAGAATAAATTATATAATTTATTTTGGTTAATTTTATTATTTATGTTAACCAACAAATTAAATCGATTATGTCAAAAAATTTTGTTCGAAAATTTATTTTTTGTTTTGATTATTTGTTTTTACTTTCAAGCTCATATCTATAGACAAATATTGTGAAAATCACCTATCGAAAAAAATGGTGCATTTATCAAATTTTCAATAATTTGGAATACATATGACGATATTTTTTAAAGTGCACATCTAGGAACAATATTGTGCATCTAATATGCCATTATTGTGCATAAATTGATCTCTATTAAGTTATAAATTGCCTTAAGTAAACTAAACGCATATTAAAAGTTCAAAAATTGCAAAATAGTCCCCTAAATATATTTAATTTCTCAAAAATAAGTTCAGTCCCAAAACAATGAAACACCCATTCCCTTTGCTCAATCTCAGCCCCGATTTGCCTAATATAAACCCCAATTTCGCCAAATCTCAGACCCAATTTCGTCGTTACTCAATCTCAGCCCAATTTCGTGCAATCTCAGCCCCAATTTTGCCGCTACCATAACTCAGTCGTCGGCGTTTACGTCATCCCGCCCCAACCGCCGCCATACCCCCTCCCACCCCACCCCGACATGAACCACGAGACAGCCTGATCCTCCACCTTGTAGAGCTCCTCGTCGGAGCCTCTTGCGATAAAAGAGACGGGAGCCGCGACAGTGGACGTCGACTTTGCAGGTACGGAAGAGCGCCGCCTATTCAGATTAGGAGTGGCGGCCGAAGGGCGACGCCGGAGACGCAACCATGATAAAGGCCCGGACGGGGGCACGGCGGTGGCACGCTCGGATGCACAACAGGTGGCACGACCGAGTAATCTCCTGAATCGCTACACTCTCTAGCGAACGGCGGAGGAACGGTGGAGACACACCAGAGGTACAGCGGAGGCCGACTGAGGTGCAGCGGAAATAGGCGGAGGCACGGTGGCAGTCTCCGGCGAATTGGGCTTCAGTGTGTGTGTGTGTGTGTGCTGAGAGTGTGCATAGGTGTAGTGTGTGTTTTGTATGTTTATGTGTTTTTGTGTGGTATAAATATTAGGGTTGGTAGGTAGGTGTGTAATGACCGGTTTGCCCCTTTTGAGTAGTCAAATTAATATGTAAATTTTACCACAATGTGTATGTTAATTTACCATATTGTCGTTGATGATTGACCAAACTTTGACTTCATCATGACAATTGATATGATGTATCCAATGCTGTAGATTTGTTTTTATTACTCTTCTTCAAGATATTAATTCTACCATCAATATTATTTTTTTCATCTCAGTAGCATCTTTTTATAAATTAGCTAATTGATTTTAGTGACAAACCAAACCCCTTAAAAACATACTAGTACGTACCCCGTGCGATGCACGGGAGATAGATATTAAATGAATTATCTTCACAGGCTCTGTCCGTTTAAGTCTGAGAAGGGTTATTATCCATTTTTCACCTATTTTAATCACCGTTGAGTCTCGTTTAAGTCTGAAAAGAGTTATCATCTATTTTCCACATCTTTTAATCTCCGTTAAGTATAAAAAAATAGAGTTGTAATCTATTTTTCACATCTTTTAATCAGTGTTGTTTTATTAGTCAGAACATTAAACGTGAGCATGTTAGGGCTAACTTGTAAAATAATTAATATATTATCTCACTAACACATTTATAATAATATAAATTTAATTTTATTATATATATTTATTCCTTGATATAAGAGAAAATAACAATTTTACTTATTCTTATTCACTATATAATAGTTAATTATTAAACTTTGTTGCCATATAATGTCATTATTATTTATAAAGTTATACAAGTTACACGTCTTCTTGTTCTTTTTATTTTATGTAATGAAATATATTTAATGCACGTTGGTATTATTTATATAAGTAATCAATTTAAAATATGTAAATAAATTTAAAATTAAATAGTGCATAAATAATGTACGAATATACACATATATTTTTTTAGAATTTAATTTTGTATACTAATTAAAGAACTTTGATTTAAGAAAAGCCATGAACTCAATCTCTTCTAATATCAATATTTTTCTAATTTGCATTGTAATGATTATTCTGATTATATATATAAATTAGAATTTTTGCGACACCAACCAAACTAAATATCACAACAACCAAGTAACAATTATGAAAAAACTCATTACACAACAACTATCAATTAAATTTGGTAATAGAAAAATTACATACATATATGTAAAAATATGAGGATTCTATATTTCTATTAACTGATGTATACACCACGTGTATATTTTGTTAAGGTATATTGGAATGTTCAATTTCATATCATGATAACGATCAGTCTTAAAAAAATTGAAATTCTTATTGAAATGTCATATTTTTCTGTTTAAAAAAAAAAGTTCCCATAAAAAATAGTTATATCATAGAAAATTCAGTGTGTAATTGAACAAATTTCTATAATGAAGCCTGATTTTCTGTACAAAAATAAAGCAACAACTTCCACATTTTAAGGAAATCAATTAATGTTGGTTCGTTTTTGCTAAGAAAATAATAAATAAATAAATTGTAATTAATTGGAAAGTAATTAATGATGAGAGAATTTGACCATATCTGTTTTTAAAAATCGTAACAGAAAAACAAATATTAAATAAAAAATGTATAATACAGAAATAGTAATGACAATAAATGCTATTGACTTTTCTAGCTACTAAATTTGGTAAATAGGACTCCCTTTAATATAAGTATAGATAATTTTTTTATAATAATAAAAATATTTATAAATTTTTTAACTACATAATTCGTTATGATCCTTCAAAATTATAACAATTTCATTATCATTCACATTTTATGCCATTAATATATTAATTTCTATCTAAACAATATAATTTATATTTATACTGTTCAGTTTTCACTGTGGTCAAATTTTACAACGTGATACCCATGATCTAACTTATAATTTTAAGTATTATATAAATACATATAATATATAATATTTCGGTTGCATCATTTGCGCAAATGCATAGGATGGACACTACTAGTGTAAAATTCAATTGAACCATGCGACCAAATTATAAATTGAGTAACCATGCCTTGAGATACCGTTTCATTCTTTTATTTATTGTAAAATAAATTGTTTCTATTTGATTTATAATTTTTTTAAAAATTGGGATGCAATTTGATTTTTTTTTGTTATGTTCGATTTAATGGTAAAAGATATAAATTATATGTGTTAGAAAAAATATTATAAAATGGGAGTATCTTATCGTAATATTATTTTAAATAATAATAAGAAAATGTTTTTAAATATTATTTATAAATTTAAAGTAAAACTTTGTATTTATTTTAACTTTTGAAATATAAAATTTTGAAGTATCACATGTGTAATAAATAGGTGTTGTAGCTTGATCTTTTCTAACAAAGCTCGAGTAGGAGAATCAACTAAGCCCGTTTATATATACATAAGGCTCAACAATGAGGCCTACTAACAAAAATCTGAAAGAATTTCGGCTCAAATTAATGAAATTAGTAGACAATTGGTATATTTTAGCTCATTTTTTTTTTTTTTTATTTTTTCCAACGATAGAAATTCTCATTCAATCAAAAAAACTTTACAAAGTTTAGCTACATAAAACCTGGAACATAACATGGATACAATCAAAAGAGCCGGGAAATGAGAGAACCACACTAGACTGGTGGCCTAGAACCCAACTAAGCAACAACAAATGCAAATATGGGCAAAGGCAGATGAGCTTCTGACACCTTAACACCATAACCTGAAGACTAGAAACAAAATCGAAAAGGAAACTGAAGCATAACATTACAACAGAAAATGAACCAAACTTCTGAAGGCCTGGATAATCTGCTTGTCCTGTAGCTATGCCAATCCTTCCAAGCTGCTTGGACAATGAGATGAGCAGGCCTTCGAGTCTTTTCAAACATCCACAAATTGCGCGTCTTCCAGAGCCACCAGAGTATGTAGGTAGAGAGTTGAATCCTTGCCTCTGACGTCTCTGACTTGTCCAACTGGCAAATGGTCCACCACCAGTCATGGAAGCTTGCATTTTCTTGAGGTCCATCCCACTGAACAGGGGAGAGCTTCCATACCAGCTTGGCCAGTGAACAATGGAAAAATAAGTGTTCAATAGATTCTACTTCATCACCACATATATGGCAGATATTGTCCACTGCAACACCTCTTGTCAGCAAGTTCATATTAACAGGCAATGTGCCATTACAGCATTTCCAGATAAAATGTTTAAGTTTGCCCATTACCTGCAATTTCCATGTTCTGGTCCTGACTTGAATGCTCCTGGCCAAGTCCACACTCCCTTGAGCTGCTGCTGTCTTGAGGTATTTGTCAGTTATAAGATGGGCATATGTGGATTTCACTGAGAATATCCCTTTACTGTGGAGCTTCCATGTCCATCTATCAGGTTGGGTGGGATTGAGTGTCTTGATAGTATGGATCAGATCACAAATATGAGAAGGAAATGTGTTCCTTAGCTTCCTGTCATCCCAATTCCACCCATCTATGGTCATTAGATCTTTAACCCATATAATGTTTCTGTCAATGCCCTGCAGTAGTTCAACTTGTTGGCCTGTGAGTGTAGGTATCCAATGCTGATCCCAAATTTTGATGCTAGTGCCACTTCTGATCTCTACCTGCATCCAGTTGGCACAAATCTGCAAAATCGAGTGCCAACTTCTCCACAGCCATGATGAACTTTGGGTAATGTGAGCATCAAAAATAGAGGAATTGGGGTAATATTTAGATTTGAGTACCCTGCTCACCAATGTGTCAGGTTCTGAGACCAGCCTCCAAATTTGTTTGGCAATAAGGGCTATGTTGAAAAGTTGAATGTCCTGAAAACCAAGTTCTCCATGCTTTTTGGCCATAGTCAGTTTGCTCCAGGCCAACCAATGTATTCCTTTGTGGAAGTCATTGCCTTTGCTCCACCAAAAGTACCCACAGATGCTAGAGATTTCCTTACACAGAGAAATAGGCAATACAAAGCAGGACATAGCAAATACAGGAAGGGCATTGAGCACAGCCTTAAAGGCAGAAATTCATGGCCACCTCGAGAGCCTTTTGAAGTATACAACTGGGTATAGAAATCTGTGATGTGCCTCTGAATCTCTTGGGGGTTGTCACACATTTGTCCTTCAGTTACCAGCCTGACAATGGAGTTCATTTTCCTCCTCTGAGAGACATATGCATGAAAAAATTTGGAGTTTTGGTCTCCCTCTTTAAACCACAGAGCCGTTGCTTTTTGTTGCCAATAGATTTCCTCTGATACATTGGCTGCATCCAGCTCCCTCTGCAGTTTGTCCCATATTTCCCAATTTCTTTCTCCTCCCTCTTTCCTCAAAGCTTCTAATTACAATGTGAGTGTATTAATTTTTGAGGACTGTGCTGCTCTGAAGTATTTGCTCCATGATAGCAAAGCTTGTCTGGTTCTTTTGATTTTTTCTTTGATGATGAACATAGGTGTGCCAAGAGAAGGTGTATCCCATGCTTCTGTAACCACAGTGTCAACTCCTTCGATGTGTGCCCATCTTTTATCAAACTGAAACCTCTTTTTGTACTTGGTGGCTGCCTCCGAGGTAGAGATGACTAACATTGTATGATCAGATGAACTTCTGTGCCAGCTAATGACCTTGGAATATGGGAATTTGGATATCCATTCCAATGAGACAAACAATCGATCTAGAGTTTCTTCCACATACTCATGGCCTGCTCTATTATTAGCCCAGGTATAAGTCAGCCCCTGTAAGGGGATCTCTTGCACACCCATTTGGGCCAGGAAGTGGTTGAATTCCCAGCAGCTTCTATCAGAAACCGGTTGACCCCCTTTCTTGTCCTCTGGTCTGCACAAAGAGTTCCAATCCCCTGCCATGCACCATACAGGCCCCCATGTGGCCTTTTCTTGCAGGAGTTGCTCCCATTGAAGAATTCTTTCAGCCTTAGATGGGATGATATATACAAAAATGGCCCAGCAGGGTGAACCTCCTACTTTCTCCTTAAAATGCACAGCAATGAAGAAGCTTTGACTGTAAATGTGAATCACCTCTACTTCTGCATCCCATAGTAATAGAAGCCCTCCTCCTGTGCCTCTAGGCTCCACTACATAGTTCCTATCTGCAAAACCCAATTTAGCACAGACAGAAGATGTAAATGTTTTATTTTTTTTTGTTTCAGAAAGAAAAAAGAAGGAAGGGTGGTGGATCCTTAAGGATTCCTTAATCTGGGGAACTGTAGAGGGCCCACCCAGACCTCTACAGTTCCACACCAGCGCATTCATGGAGATTCTGAGGGCTTCTTAAGGCAAGCCCTCTCCACCTTTGATACTGTCAGCTTCATTTTCTTATCCTGCTGCTCCACCAGGTTGTCTTTATGAGATGTTTCCCCTGTGAGTATAGCCAGCTCTCTGGGTCTTTTAGTCATAACCATTGAGAGTTCCAATGAATTTCCTTTGGATTTCCTCTGAAGCCTGCCCTCCTTTTGTGGTGTTCTTTTCCAAGTTGTGGCACCCTTGCTGACACTCTTGCTTCCTATCCTTGTTAGTGCTGGCAGCTTTGTATCTGATTGATCCTCATCATCAATGGCCATGACCTCCAGTGGGTTTGGTTTAATATGAGCTAAGGTCTTGTCTGCTTGGTCAGATGGGGGACTATAAAGGATCAACTCTTTATCAGAGGTCCGTACCTCATGTTCAGCATTGAGTGCCCCATTGTGGTCTGTATCAGTGCTTTGATGTCCAATCTGGCTATGAGAAGAACTTTTTGCTGCATCATGATTGGTGATAGGCTCTTTATCCCCTGGTGAGTGGGCATTGGTGTTGATGTTACTAGGTGAGGGAGCAGGATCCTGAGATTGACCTGAAGAAGAATTAGCATGGTTCCAGTTCTGACTCTGCAGCCCATCGGAGGCTCTCATCCAATCTCCAAATTGCCCCTCTTGGAGTCTTTTGTGTTTTATATCCTCCATTCTGAGAGTGCAGGCTTTCTCAATGTGGCCAATCATCCCACAATAGAAGCACAAGTTAACTAAGCGCTCATACTTAAATGTCACCGCAACCACTTGGGAACCAAACCTGATCGATGTGCATCTGGGCAGTGGTTCTGTGATGTCAACTGTTACCAATAGTTTGATTAGGCGCCCCCCTTGAAACGGTAAGTTACTCACGATCACATTGGAAACCTCATTGAAAACTTCCCCAATTCTGAGTCCAACTTCTGCTGTAAGCCAGTTAAGAGGAACATTGTGGACTTGAACCCATAGTTTAAGGTCTGAAAAACATTTGGCATCTCTGTTCATTCCAGCTTCCCATCGGCGCAAGATGAGAAATTGGTTTTCAAATATCCAGTTTGTTCCTCCCTCAACCTTATTTAGATCCTCAAGGTTTGAGAAGATGAATTGAAAAAAATTGGGACCGAGCTCTCGAACCTCGAATGAATGTTTGAGTCGCCAAATTTGGTTCATAGCCTTCTTGATTCCCGCCAGACTTGCTCGTTTGTCACCTACTATCCGACCGAATAGACTGTGGTGGCATTCTTCGACACCCGTCTTGACATCATCTACCTGAAGATCGATGATTTTGTTTTCCTTTTGCGAGAGCGAAAAAACCCTAAGTCGCTGCTCTACTTCATCTGTAACCGATTTCGAACTCTGTCCATCCATCACTGCGATATGAGAGAGTAGTAAGGAGAAGAGATCCAGAAAAGGTGTGAAGGCCTCTCCAACGAGAGGAAAGTGCTTTCCGATGAAAGAAGATGCTCTCCGACGAGAGAAGGTGCTCCCCTAGAGAGAGAATTGAATTTTGGTCATTTTTAGCCCATCTTTGAAAGTGACTATTACTTCATTATAAATTTTATTGTCATATAATGTCATTATTAGTTATAAAAGTTATAAAAATTGTACGTCTTTTTTTTATGTAATGAACAATGTTAGTATTATTTATTTATGTAATCAATTTAAAATATGTAAATAAATTAAATATTAAATAGTGCATAAATATTTTAAAAATATACACACATGTTTTTTTATAATTTAATTTTGTATACTAATTAAACAACTTTGATTTAGCATATGCTAAAAACTCAATCCCTTCTATAATCAAGATTTTTCTAAAGGTGGAGGGTGTCAACAACCTCAACCTACGACGGTCGTCGGCTGTAATGGAGCGTTGAAATCAGTAATCTTCACAAGGCATTACACGAATGTGCCCAATCGGGAACTAGGTGACAAAAATTTTATATGTATTTGTAACCACTGTCTGGTCAACTCGAGGAAGCAGTACGCTTGAAAAAACGGTGATGGGTATGGATCCATGCAACGACACATCCAGCGTTATCATCCTTCCGAAATGGGGATTCCCTCGACTCAAACGCAATTTTTGACTAGGAATAGTGCAGCATCCGGGAGTGGAACAGGAACGTCTTCAACTTTATTTTAATACTTGGATGAAAATCATAGACTCCATCTAGGTGAATTTATTTGTGCATCCTCTCTTTCTTTTGGTTTTGTTGGTTCCAAATTATATGAAAAAATTGCTTAAATGGCTTTAAACTCAACTGTATAACGAGTTCCACGTACTAGTCTCGCCCGTGATATTCGAAATATTGTGGTTAAGGAAAAAATATTTTTGGCGCAAACTTTTCCAAATTTACAACAAAGACTTTCTCTTTGTTGCGATATTTGGTCCGATCAATGGATATCGAACTATTACCTAAGAATTACTTATCATTGAGTGGATAGTTTTTAATTATAAAAATGTTTAATTTCTTATATGCCATTTAATATCAATCATACCGTTTTTAATATCGCTCGTTTAATTTCACATGTAACTACTAATTATAACATTTAAGAAAAAATCCATTTATTTGATAATGTAAGTGTTAATACTGCATCCATTTGTCAGCTTAAATTAAATTATAGTCCCATTTGTAGGAGAAATTTTTTCATAATTTTTGTGTATGTTATATTCTTAATATTTGTGTTCAAATGGGTTATCATGCTTTAAAAAACTCGGTCACGCCCATTAGGGAGGCCGTTCTTTACTTATATCATCGTCCTTTAGAAATGAAAGCTTGGAAAAATATTGTGAAAGAGTTATTACTTATTACACCTAAAAAATTACAAGCGGACGTTCCTACTCGGTGGAACTCAACTTATAAAATGTTGTTAGAAACAAAAGAATATTCTAGGCATTTGGAAGTGTTTTTTCAAAGTTCTGACCATAATAATTGTGATGTCCGCATAACTACGTAGGATTGGATACATTGTGAAGCCATAATAAAAATTTTACAAACATTTCAAGATGCTACTAACATACTTTTTGGTGTTTACCATCCTATATCTCATCTTGTGCTTGCTCAATATGTAATCGTAATGTGGTCTTTTAAAGATACTTATAATGACGATCCTGATAAATACGGCAGAATTGTTAGAGAAATGATATCAAAATAGTTAAAATATTATTATTACATTCCCGACATATTTTTAGTTGCATGTTTGTTAGACCCATAACTTAAAGAACGTGGCTTGGTCAACCAACTTCACACTTATTATGATATTATGTGATATGGAATATCATACTAGATTGATTTTACCTGAGAAACTAGTCGTACGAGGCCAATTATGCTGGCAGAATGAATATTTGTCAGAAGAGGATGAGGTCGGTCATTCGACCTGAAGAACAGAGTTTACAGGCCTATTTAAGAAGATATTCAACCTCACAATAATAAGGGTTTGGTATCCTGGTTAGACTATCCCATAAGAAAGATTAATGGATAAGAAGAAATATACTTGGGAATAAACCTACACTGGGCTAGCACACATGTCATAATGGTATTGCACAAGCCAAACTTGGGCACCAATGTGTACCTTCCCTATAAAAGGGGACTAAGGTACCACAAAAACACACTCTCTCTACATTCACTATTATACTCTGATATTGCACTTTATCTCTACGAGTGCCGACTTAAGCTTCAGAGGCTCTTTACCGGAAACCAACCCTTCCTCCCTTCCGGTGTTGAGTTTTTGCAGGTACGGAGGCCGTCCGATGTAGATGAACCCGAGTGAAGTCCATTTCACTATTATTATGTATCAACTCTCACTTCTCGCGGAAGTTAATCCTGAAAGACATAACTCACGGCAGATTGTCGAGGTAGCAAAAAAAATTGTTGTATGAAATGTTTAAGGATGCAACAATCGCAGCGGAGGAAAGTGCGGCGTCTTTTGCTTTCATGCCCGACGGGTCTTCTTCTTTTTATTATGGGCATTATGCGGTACAAACGACGCACAGGCCTCAAACTTTGGGGATTGGTGGTCCTTTTCTCATGCTAATGGTTTGATCCCAAGGGCAATGAGAGTGTATACCAGGAGTTCAATCACTACCTCTCGTCGAATTTGAGACTTAACATTGCTCACTAGACCCGCCACTCAAATTCGACGTCTTAGATTGGTGGTAAAAAATGAGCGGCATTTATCTTATTCCATACAATATGGCCAAGGAGATTTTCGTTGTCCCGACCTCAACAGTGACAGTTGAACAAGCATTCGGAGGGGGGTTTTATACATTGGATGCACGACAGTTGAGGTTGACGCCACAAAACTTGGAGAATCAAATGTTGCTTGGTGATTGGAGGAAGGCCGATTAAAAGATGCAAACGGCCATGCTAACTACTGAACGAGATGTAGAAGATGATTGCTCCGATTTCACTATTGTTACTTGAACTAAGAACGACTACCAGTCCTACGACTACGACTAAGATAACTAGAGCTCCAGTCGGCTCAACAACGCATCCTGCCTAGTAAGTAAAAAAAGAGAACTGCGAGAACTTTGATTCTCAAGATAAGGGATACGTAGGCAACTTAATTAACATATTGTAAGTTAAGATACCATTTTTAACTCGAAAAAATCTTCAACTTAATTGATTGTAACTTACAATATGTGTCCAAGTCAAATTTTGTAACTTTTTTTTTTTTTNCAAATGGCCAACCCGGCCCAGAACTGATCGGACCGGTCAGGCCCGATGTGTCACTAAACCGGCCTGGCCCGCCGGGTCCTGTACCCGACACATACCTAGGCACGGGCCAGTTCAAGACCGATCATTTTGATCCCGGCAGTGGCGACCCGTCGGGCCGGTCCCGGTCCCGGCTCGGAATTTGTCTATGTCTAGTGGAACATGGATATTCTATGGGTCTATGTAGTGAGACACGTTTGGTTGTGACAAAACTCTCCACTCTTGTTCTCGAGTGTAAGATACCCACTAGCGATCACAAAGGCGAGAAAGTCTTGATTCCAAAAATGATTAAAGCTCCTTCCGATGTCAGAATTCATTTTATGTTCCAGCGACGACTTTTTCATTGTTGTTTCTTACACCTGTAAATAAGAGCCAATAACATTCATTATCGAATGTTGATTTATTTCTTAAAAAATCGATTTTCTGTCATGGGCAGTTATACTTTGTTGTCTCCCGTTTCACTTACCGAAGTGGTTTGAAAATAGTAGTCTGTTGTGACGATGACTTGTCAAAAAATCAAATCAAAAATATTGTATACAAAGAAGTGTTCAATAATTTATTATTTTTAACGTTATTTGTAACCCATTTACTTTTTTTATATTCATAACAAGTCTATTAATGAAAATGTAATATTTCAAATATTTCACTAAATATATTATCTCGGACGATGGCGATGGACTAATATGTTTTTAAAGAACCATTGAATAAACCAAAAACGAGTCATCCTTGACAAAGTAGTACTCTCTCTCTCTCTCTCCACATACAAGGGATAGACACGAATTTGTTCGAAATGCCATAGCCCACCCAAAAACAAAGGCGAATAAACAAAAAAGTTTCAAACTCCCGTAAGGTCTTCTATTCAAAAAATATAAGTAACACGTACGCCCCCCATTATTCTCTCCGCCCTCTTTTCGTCAATCTTGATTACCGCAACTTCAGCCNTATGAGAAATTAGTGAAGCGTAAAGTGAAATTTTAGATGGATTCAGTGGCTCTT